AACCTACTTCTATCAATCGAAAGGAGACTGCGACCACACCAGAGGCCACAACATCTTGGTCTTCATATATGTCGAGAAACTTTGCGCCCAAGGTAAGTCGTACTAACCATGTTTGTAACAAAGTGGGGAAGGATAAGGTTATCACATTATCTAGTACAACTCTGGAGGATAGTGTAGTACTTTTATTGGAAAGATGAATGAATAATGCTCTTCCAAATGAATCAAAACATTATCTGGACATACTTGTTGAATTAATTAGATTATCTGATAGATTGCCTAAAGAGGTAAGGAATAGTAGTGAACTGGAGGTGATCCCTCATTTAGACCATATAATTCCCAAAAGAAAGTTCGTCCGATTAGTAGGGTTTCTATATATCTCTGTGATAGTAATTTAATGGTTATGAAAGCCGACAAAGGTGGAGCAGTAGTAGTCATGGATAGGTCAAGTTATGTATTAAAAATGCTAGTTCATTTTAATTACACTGATACACATATGCCTTTATTGAGAGATCCAACAGAAATACATAAGTCTAGGCGAAAATATGTGTGATGATTTTTCCATGATACTGCCAGTATTGTCAATAGAGTAATTCTCAATGATTTCTAAAGCAGGCTGAAGTTTTCCCTTAAAGTTTCCTCCATAATGCATTTAAACAGAAGCTTCAAATATAATATGGGAATTAAGTCTCAGCCTCACCTAGATCAAACGCCTGGGGATGTGACATCAAACAATAGAATATGAAGTGGGTTGTCCCCGTTGTCGCGACTTCGTCTTGTTGTCAGAGCGACTTAGTAGAACGCACCTCGTCCGAAGTCGTCTGCCATAGTAGTTGTCATAATTCTCAGCATCAGACAGTGGACTTGGTACATTCTCAGACGTTTCGCCGCCATCATAGTCGGCATCATCAGCCATTCGCCGCACCAAGCTACGAACTCGTAAAAGAGACAAGTGAAGTCAATCCCTCGACAAACTATCTGCCGAAAACGGTTACACAATCACTCCTCTTTTTATGTCCTGGCCCATCTATCAACTCTTTACCCTCTATCCAACTTGCGCCCTACCACAACTTTTCACTTGTTTACATTCCGCTCGTCAAAATGTGTGTCTTTTTTTGGCAAATTAAGTGTGGCCTCAGCACTCCTGCTATTCACCTTGGTCTCTCTTTCGATTGGTTAATCCGACTCGGGCCTCTTATTCGGATCCCGCTCATGGTCCCGTAGATCCGATTTCACTCTCAAGTGGATTTCTAGCCAATTCCGGCCATAACGCTTATCTGTCTATCTATCTCTCTAACTGCCAGACCCTAAAAGTTGTACCGGTTTATTCGAACAGACAACACTCACTAATAACCAGTCTCACTGACCAGAGAAATGTGTCCAAAGTTTGCTTAGGTAAAGCGGGTTCAATCAAGGAAACAACTCGTTTATGCAACGCCTGGAATCTGTAAGCATGGGAATCATAGCCCAGGCGCTTTGCTTGGTGAGGCGGTAGTGTACGTACTTCTAAGGGCTTGAGAAGCAGCGCCTGTAGTAAAACGCACACTGAGACTGGAACAGAATGAAATCGGCCATGCAGAAAGATAAGGAACGGATCTACGGGACCATGAGAGAGATTAGAATAGGAGGCCCGAATCGGATTAGCCGATCGAAAGAGGGACCAAGGTGAATAGTAGGTGTGCTGAGGCCACATTAAATTTGCCAAAAAAGGCACACATTTTGATGAGCGGAATGTAAGCAAGTGAGAAGTTGTGGTAGGGTGCAAGTTGGATAGAGGGTAAAGAGTTGATAGATGGGCCAGGACCAAGAGAGGAGTGGTTGTGTAACCGTTTTCGGCAGAACGTTTGTCGCTGGATTGACTTCATCTGTCTTCTTAAAGAGTTCGAAGCTTGGTGCGGAGAATGGCAAGACTCACTGATGATGCCGACTACGATGCCGGCGAAACGTTTAAGAATGTACCAAGTCCACTGTCTGATGCTGGGAATTATGATAGCCACCATGGCAGAAGACTTCGGACAATGTGAGTTCTACTAAGTCGCCCTGACAACAAGGCCTAGTTGCGACGAGGTCGACCCACTTCTATAAATCGAAAGGAGACTACGACCATACTGGGGGCCACATCATCTTGGTCTTCATATCTTTTATATAGACTACGACATTATCAATTAATGTGCAATGACAAGAGATGCTCTGCATTTCTAAATGGGGCTAAACAACTTTCTTTGGCATAATTGGTCGTAACAGGTCGTTTTACAGCCTTCATGAATCCGATTGTCGTCAAGATACACCTGTCTTGGATACTCGCAACCTTGCCTAGGATTCGGCTATGGCGAGGACCTTGTAAAATTTTTCCCTTAATATCAACGCCAAGGCCCTGAGAAGCTGTCTTACTCCACTTATGATTAAGATGTAGGAACAGCTATAAAGAGAAGGCAGACTCTGTCCAAATGGGGATATCGAAAAAGAAATTAGATATCGCGGAATTCTATCAAAATTAATTTCGTCTGGCTAATGATAACCATGGGCCTTAAATATCATATGTAATGAGATGTATTCACCCTATTTCGTATAAGGTGAGGAAGGACTGGTAGTAGAATTTTCCCACAATGATATGAGTTTAGCTGACTTTTCCATTGAAT